TGCTGACACGAGGTGGAATAACAACAGATTCGAATATAACGCGTCTGGGTGCCTCAGTGAACGAAGCTCAGACTTCACAAATACAGCAGGCCCAGGCGAATAATGATCAGGCCCAGGCGAAAGGTGATCATGGTGTCACGCACCTCCCTCCAGACCGTGCACAACCTCAAAATCAAAGTATCATATATAAAACTCCAGGGATTAGATTGCCAACAATAGAATTACCAAAGTTTAGTGGTGATACAGCTGAATGGCTCAGCTTTCGGGATACTTTTGAATCACTAATAAATAAAAATGGAACCATTGATTCTATACAGAAATTTCATTACTTAAAAGCGGCGTTGGAGGGTGGTGCGGCGCAGATCATTAAATCTTTAGAGTTTACAGCCGTGAACTATGCCGTGGCATGGAATACAATATGTGATAGATTTAATAACAAAAGATTACTTACCCATAACCATATAAAAGCGTTGTTTAGTATCTCGCCTATCAAGAAAGAATCATCTAATCAAATCCGTGAAGTCGTTGACAATCTTAATAAGCATTTACGCGCCTTAAACGCTTTAGATCAGGCGACAGAAAGTTGGGATTCATTATTAATATATTTGATATCGACTAAGTTGGATAGCATTACCGCGCGAGCTTGGGAGAAGGAACGTGCAGGGAACGACATTCCCACTTTGCAGGAGTTTAAATCATTTTTGAACTCTCGGGCAGATTTATTAGAGGCTCTAGAATTAAAGGATAAAAATGTTCATGAACATAGGCAAGCAGATCGTTCTAAGGTGAAATCCTTGTTCATTCAAGGGCAAAGGTGCGCAGTCTGTAAGGACACACATAAATTGTCGAACTGCCCGAAGTTTCTTGAGCTCTCTCCGCAAAAAAGAGCTGAGTATGTAAGAAGCTCCAAGTTATGTTTCAACTGCATGAAACCTGGACACTACCTCAAAGACTGTAAGGCAGGATCGTGCAAACAATGCTCGGCGAAGCATAACACGTTATTGCACTTCAATAAACCTTCTATAGCTCAAGCAAATACATTGGACGAAACAAAGAGTTCGTCAATTTTGTGCTCACATAACCAATCCAATTCACAAACTGTTTTACTCGCCACAGCTTTGATACTAGCAACAGACAGTCTTGGGAGAAAGCATAATATTCGGGCGATATTGGATCCAGGATCTCAATCCAGTCTTATCACGGCCAAGCTCTGTCGCAGCTTGAGTTTGCAGACATCACGAATTCACATGACGGTAGATGCAATAAACGGATTGTCATCTAAAATAGAACACAAATGCAACGTGGAAGTATCAACGCATCACAACAATTACAAATTTCATCTTGAATGTTTGGTTATTCCAGAGATTACAGGACATCTACCAACTCAGAACATTGGTTTCCCGAGAGGAGAGATTCCCGCCAACATCAAATTGGCAGATCCATCATTTCACATTCCGGGCAAGGTGGACATTCTCATCGGAGCAGATTGGTTTTGGAATCTTCTATGCATAGGACAATTGACGATTGGGGCGAATCAGCTCACCTTGCAGAAGACTAAGTTAGGTTGGGTGGCAGTTGGACCTTTAAAGGATGTCTACACAAACTCAATTCGATGTAACCTAAGCAGATCAGATAACTTAGATGAGCAGCTCACGAAGTTTTGGGAAATTGAAGAACTAGGCAACAACAAAATACTATCCCAAGAAGAAACGGAATGTGAGAAGCATTTTGTAGAGAACATTCGTCGTGATCAAGATGGTAGGTTCGTAGTAACGATTCCCTTTAAGGGAGATCCAGGTGAATTGGGTGAGTCAAAAACCATAGCGTGCAAACGTTTGATCAGTCTCGAGAGAAGACTAGAGAGGAATCCCGACCTCAAAGGGAGTTACACAAAGTTCCTGTCAGAGTACGAGCGGCTCGGACACATGAGTAAAGTATTCGAAGAAGCAGAACCAGAAATCTCGTATTACCTACCTCATCACTGTGTCATTAAATCAGACAGCTCTACCTCAGGATTACGTGTAGTATTTGATGCATCATCCGCTACTGACAATGGTATCTCTCTGAACAAGTTGCAAATGGTAGGCCCCACTGTACAGGAAGACTTGTTTTCAATACTCATTCGGTTCAGAATCCATCCATACATCTTATCTGCTGACATTGAAAAGATGTATAGGCAGGTGTTAGTAAATCCAAACCAACGTGCCCTTCAGAGGATTTTATGGCGTCCGAGCAACATAGATACCATACAAACGTTCGAATTAAAGACACTCACCTATGGTACTGCATCAGCTCCATATCTAGCAACGCGGTGCTTGATACAGTTAGCTAACGAAGTCCAACCTCAATTGCCAGAAGTAGCGGAAGTTATTCGAAAGGACTTTTATGTGGACGATTTATTGACAGGAACCTCTACCGTGGAAGAAGCTATAAGACTGAGACACGAGATCACACGCATACTAGGAGCAGCAGGCTTTCAATTAAGAAAGTGGGCGTCTAACGACCCTGCAATAATTCAGGATGTCCCAGTCAAAGAGCGGAATCTGAATAGCATCGATTTTAGGAGTGATGGTACAACGAAGACCCTAGGAGCAGTATGGAAGGCCCTATCCGATAGCCTAACGTTTACAGTGAAGGAGCGAAGTCAGGTCAAGGTCACAAAGAGGCAAATATTAATGGAGACCGCTCAAATATTTGACCCCCTGGGTCTACTTAGCCCATGCATTGTCGTAGCGAAGGTATTACTACAACAGTTGTGGTTGCAGAAATTGGCATGGGATGAATCTTTGCCTTTGGAACTACATAACAAATGGATGTCGTTTCGACGACAAAGTCAACTTTTGAATCAAATAAAGGTATCGCGGTATATCTTGGGCGACAAGTGCATGGATATACAACTACATGGTTTTGCGGATGCATCTCAAACAGCTTATGGTGCGTGCATCTACATACGATCCCAAAATCCTGAAGGAGTTCCACAGGTAAACTTACTATGTGCAAAAAGCAGAGTAGCCCCTCTTAAACAACAAACTATTCC